TATATATATAATAGTTATATCAATCATTCATGATAGTTATGGTAATATCCATGATTCATATTAGGTACTAGTTTTCTACACTGGTATAAAAAAACACGTTGCAATTTGAACATCGACCATTTACTTCGCTGGGAGTTCCCAGCGGCCCGCCATGTTTGATTCACGTTTTGAGTATATACCATGGATGGATCCTATGTGATATACCATGAAGTTATATTCCATTGTTATTGGTTAAATCCCAAACTTATGATGCTTACTTGCAGATATGTAGTTATATTATGTTATATAACCCAGTATATCCCCATGGGTTCTCCAAAGGGGGTTCTTCATGAATCTCCCGTATTTTTTTCCCTGTGAATCAGCATAAAATCCCGTGAATTCCCATGAATGGCTTCCATGAAATGTCATCACCGAAAAAATGGTGAAATCCCTCTTAACATCACCGTAAAATCCCATGAATTCCAATGGGTTCGCCCATGGCGAGGCCAAAGGCTTGGCGGACAACCCTGGAAAGTTCATTGAGGCGGCAAGGGGATGTGAATTCATATCGAAACCATATGGGTATGGATCAATACCTATTAATACCATTTTTAATGGGATGAACATCCATTTACCAGCTATTTTGATGTTCACCAGGGGTACAAGGTTTTGACACACTGCCATATGGAGGTTTCCATAAAAAAAAGGGCTACCCCCAGTTCTCATCCAGCTATTAGATTGGGATTTTCCATGAAATAAATTGAAATAAACCATCCAGCGAGCTATTGGGGTATCCCCATGACTTTGGAAACCCACCATATGTTCAGGGCAGTTTTTGAAATCAGTCTGGGCAGTTCTTGATCTGTAAAAAAACATGTTCCAGAAACATTAAACATACCAGGTGGTACCCCCCCAGTGATGTTTGTTGGTTTATAATCCCCATGAAAACTATATAGTATATATAATAAACCCCATAAACCCAAGTGAAATTGGAGTGAACTGTTCACCAACTTGTCGCGATTTAGCTCGCTGGGGCACCACCGTGTGGATTGACGTGGATAGCTTTTTTTAAAGACCAGGGCTCTGAGGTCATCTTATGATTGGCGAAAAAGGACTTGAATGGATTTGAGGTAACTTAGAAACATGTTCTAGTAAGTACTTACTTTAATAGTATTGTTTAATATGTTTAGTATATATTGAAAATACGTTCTAGTAACTATAGTACCAAACAATACTAAACTTCACTCTTCCTCTTTCCTTGCTAGGTGTTTTTTCCGGCGCGCTACCATGTTGCGGGCTTATCAGCTGGATCCCTCAAAGATTGGCCATCGATGAGAATTCCCAGTGATACCCTAACGTAGAGTTGTTGTTGTTGTTGTTGGTTGTTGGTTGTTGGTTGTTTGTTGTTTGTTGTTTGTTGTTTGTTGTTTGTTGTTTGTTGTTTGTTGTTTGTTGTTTGTTGTTTGTTGGTTGTTGTTGTTGTTGTTGTTGTTGTTTTTCCCGGGTTTCCCTATGGTTGTTTGAAACAACCATCTTTTATATGTTGACCAAAGAAGGGTAACTGGAGAGGGGTAAGTCTCCAAGTCTCGCCAGGGCAAGCCAAAGGAAGTCTGCGAGGACCTCGCAACTCTGGGTAAGCTCAATACTTGTGGCTGCAGGCTAGGTGAATTACCTATAGAAAAAAGTGGCTCTATCTAATTATGAGATTTAACTTATTTAACCACCAGAAGTTGTGAAATGGGGACCCTATAACTATGGATATCTCTGGATTATCATATGACCACTAGTGGAACTGCACCCATCATATGATGGCAACCCACAAAATATGGGACAGTAGGTCTTGATCCATTCCCATGTGTAAACGACCCACTTCTTCAAAAAACATCTGGTTGGTGGTTTGGAACATGAATTTTATTTTTCCATATATTGGGAATAATAACCCCAACTGACTTTCATATTTTTCAGAGGGGTTCAAACCACCAACCAGACACGTTGATCAATGTAAATCCAAAAATTCCTTGAGCTCATTGGGGGTGGATACACCATTTGTGTCTGAAAATCAAGGAAAATGATAAGTTCCCAATGGCTAGATGCCTATTTTGTGGTGTACCATGGTGTATCCCTGTTCGGGACAAACCGCAGTAGATCGTAGTAGAGTTGGTTCCAATCCTTTTGGGGGTAGTCAGACAGTCATGGTAAATCTTTATCGTGTCCAATTTGTTTCAATCATTGGTTATTTTATTCTTCACATAGGTTTTTCTGAGAATGGTGGGTGTAGAAGTCTAGCCCCAAAAATTTCAGTTTGAGCGATTTTAGTTGGACAACATATGTTCTAAGCATGTCTAAACCATTAAATTGCGCGGTTTTCCGTGCTGATTTTCAGAGAAACCCGCGGCTTTTCAGGTTCCAGAAGATCTGCAGTGATGCTAAATTCCATGGTTTCACATGGTTTCACCAATGGATAGAATTATTGTATTGGTTGTAGTCATACTTAATCTTAATATATCTTAATCATATCCCCATGATATCGAGTTGGAAGATCAGTTACCACTCAAAACTGCTGCGAAAATCACGGTATCTCCCTGTTTTAGTTGAACTCCTCCATCAAAAGAAATCTGGCCCCCGCGTTTTGTTCGAAAGGACGCAGTGAAGCAACTGGAAGAGGCCGGTGCCAAGGCGGTCATCGAGTCGGATTGCCCAACTCGGAGACTCCTGAAGGAGTGGGTGCAGAGGGTTTTTTGGGTCCAAGACCATGGGATTTGGGTGTTTTTTGGGGAAAAGATTTGATTTTTGGGAGGAAGAATTGGATTTTTGGGAGAGAACCTGAGATTTTGACGGAGAAAAAAAGGGGATTTCTGAGGGAAGAATTGGGATTGAAACTCTGGACACAATTGGAAGAAGTGGATGAAGGATTAGTTTGGAGCAGCAAAGATTGTGATTCTTTGAGCAATGATCAAGTTGACAGTGGTTGTAAAAAAGATAAAACTTTCATGAAGTCATCATCCAGAATAAAGAATAATAATTAGATATAATTAGTAGGAACTATGGTTCTATAGTGTCTTTGGTTCTCCAATGTAATGTCAACCCTGGATTGCCTGGATTATTCAAGCCTTGCTTCGAAAGATATGGGAGTAGCAGCGTTTGAAGGATCACTATTGGAGAGGCCCCTATCAATGCACTGGAGGTTTATCAATCCGGGGTTGGCACGACACAGCATCAGGTGAGGCGATGGAGTGCAGGGGAACCCAGGGATGATGTGAAGGACGGGGTTTCCTTCAAGACCGACGTCGGTGAATGGGTTATTGCTATATTAGGGTCCCCACATAGATAGAAAAGTGCTTCCAGGATGTGATAGATATTTTTTCCACCATATTTCCAGGTGTTCAATGGTTCTACTTTTTTGGGGATGGCTATAAATGAAAAATAGAGTGACAAGCAAGTGGGTAAGCCTTGTCGAATGGTAAATGGCTCGAGATTTTGACGAAGATTCCCATTGAAACTCCACCTTTGGGCCTTGATCTTTGGCGACACTTGAAGTGCAGATTTAATCCCAATTATTTGGATTATCATTGATTGTCGTGTTTGTTGAATTCCCGAGAATATCAGGTTTATTCTAAGTTTCATAGATGTTTATAGATGGTTGAGGTATTTCTCCCAGACTTAAGTCAATGGTTTTGTTAAACCGGAAAGTACAACCGCATATTTGATGCCAACATCATGGTTTCCGATCAATTTTATATTGTTACTGTATATTTCATTTTATATTGGTATCCCTCGTTTTCATGATCAATACCAAACAAATTCAATCTTGGCCATGGATTTGCGTGGCTCAGGTGATGCTTTGGGCCTTGGATGATTTTCTGACGCCCCAACAAAAACAGCTTACTGCAAAAAAGCCGCTGCTGCCCAACATGGTGATATGTTTGTGTGAAAATGTTGGAAACCACCTAGATTTGCGGGACAATCACCATTGACAATTGTTTCTGATTGAATATAGCGACTTTGGGGAATAAATGACCCTATTCATGCAGAAAGTGATGACTAACCAGTGGATTAAGGGATACCTAATTTTCAGACGCACATCCATATCAGAAGCCAAATGATGGCAGTGATGTCGAAACTGAACAATAAGACATTCAATTTTCATGAATTTTCCACCCCAACTTTGTCTTTGTTTCTCCCGTGTTTTTTGAAGGGTCTTTGCAGCTGGGTATCCACATTGCTCCGAGAAAAACATGGTGTTGTTCAAAGGTCGAAACAAATTATGAACTTGCAGGTTCAATCAACAGCTTGAAAAGAAGAAATCCAAATCCACATACCATGCCACCTCTTTGCAATGTAAAAAAGACAAACAGTAGCAACCGAAATTCTTTGGTTGCCCAAGCCCTTCTGGCGGATGTATATTTTTGACCTCACCATCGATAGCAGAGAAGTCAACGGAATGGGAACTTCCAAGAGGAAACACGATGGGTATGGGTCCAAAATTCAACGGACCGCGTTTGGTCATTCTTCGTCTTAACCATCCAGTTTCTTGGAGGTTGTCTTCCCCCAAGAGTTGTTGATTTCAAGTTATGTTGCTTAATCCAAAATGTTGATAGTTGAATCCAGAGTTCTGCTGGTTAAAACCATCATTTTTTGCTGGTAAACTCTCCCATTTCAAGCCCAACTTGTTGATATATGCCCAGCGTTTCCTTCGTAAAAACCTCAAATATCATTGTTTTCGAACCTTATATTCCCCAGTAGAATTGCCACAATTGGGGTCTTAAATCCACCATGTTTCATAAGGAGAATTCCTGAACCGGTGGTACCTCCAAATCAATTTGACTGGCGGGATTGTCCTCCTTTCAACCAGCTATTGGGGATCCTCCATTTATGCAAAACTAGTTATACCGATTACTACTCTATTCAAAGCCATTCTAAACCCATATCAACCCATATTACAGTAACCCATATTAACCCATATATTCTTAACCCATATTAACCCATATTAATATTAACCAAACATTATTAGCCCCATCCCCGGAGCGTCACCACCACCGCCATGGCGCGTCCGCGCCAACCCTGGCAGCCCACGCGCAACGCCGCAAGCTGCGAGACGCGGCGCTTGCTGCGGCCCGTGGCGGGGCTGAAGGCGCGGCCGCGTTCGTGGCGAGGTCGCCGGTTTGAACCAAGAAAATATGGAGTTGCCCGAACATATTTTAACCATCTGGAACCAAAATCTGGGTTAAACATGTCTGAACATCTGGAAAATATGGAGTTTAGACCCCCTTATGTAAACCATCTTAAACCAATTGGAGATCTGTGTCCAACGTGCATTCGTAGCAAATTTCTCAGATGAAGCGGGCAGTGTTCACTGAACCATCGGTTTCTGATATTTGATGATCATTTTCCCGAAAAAAATGGTTGTAATTGGGTGATATTCCCATCTTCAGAGACACCCATATGGGGCTATTCCAGGCATATCTAATAGAACAATCACAAGTGGTGGTGTTTGCTATCAATAAATATGGGGATTTAAGATCAAGACTAGGGATTTTAAACATCAAACGTGCGGATTTGACTACCAATGATCAGCAGAAAATAGCAGAAATATGGATACAACATGATACAACTAGAAAAATCAATGGGTGTGTTCTGGGTCGATCAACTGCAAGTTTGAATTCTTGAATCATGTTGAATCTCTATTGTTGATGCTTAATGTTAAACCATGAGGTCGTCAGGTGTCCCCGGCGATCACAGGAGGGTGTACAGCTGCCAAAAGGAGTGGAGGAGGAGCAGTCGCGAGATCTTGCGGTATTTGGATGTATTTGGGTCAAGCAACTGAATAAGGACTCCAAATAAATCCTTTGCAATGGGGATATGAATATAGTCCTTATTCAGTTGCTAAGACCTGCTAAGAGTTATTTATCATACTTTGAACCTATTTATCATACCATGGGGATAGGGTATCTAAGATTGGCCATGGATGGCCATGGTATGATAGGTTTATTTGATCCGGAGCCTTGGATCTGGACCAATCAATAGGTACCATGAACCAAGACTCACTGTACTCTTTTGGGAAATTATCACAGTTTGCGAACTGGAAAAGCACCATTTTTCAGAGGTGAATCATCTATAAATATATAAATTGGCAATTTTCCCACAGCAAACTGTTCAATCACCAGGCGCCGTACATTTCGATACATTTCGGTTGCTCCGATCCTGCAGGAACTTCGTGAAAGCATCGACAGGAAGGCCGGTTGATCATTTTTCCACAGCAAAAAAACGGTGTTAAAGCAAAGGGATCTTGGAAACCAATGACCTGGATACATGATAAGGATCTTGTAACAAGTAGAATCATCCCCAAGTTAATGATCCTAATGTTGGTCCTGACGATGCATGATACATGTGTTCATCCTCACGATCCTCAAAGTCGAAATGTACTGAAAGTTGGATCAGAAACTTCCAACTGACGTAGTGATACGAAGTGTAATTCCATCCGAGGCATGTTTGCAAGGACAATTCATGTCGTGATTTTGTTTAGGTGAAAGTTCTGGAAAGCAATGAGTTATATGCAAAAGGTCTTGTGTTTGCGGACTGGTGACAACAGCACACCATACTGAAAATGTGGTTGGTGGTTTCATCTGTAATTATTGTTACATTTTGTTCCAACCATACTTAGGATTTTTCAGTATGATTCCCAATGACCAATCTTTTTCTGGGGGGTTGACACCACCGACTGCGCAAGCCGTGTAAACCGCGTCCGCAGAAAGTCGTCGCTCGGTCCACTGCAAAGGAACTTCGGTCGGGGCCTTAATGCCGAGCAGCCGAAAGACAGTGAAAAACATTGTGATTTATGGTTACTTTATTTTTTCTTATGGCTCACATATGTTCAAACATGTTATATATGTTCGAACCACGCCATGTTGGACTGCTGTGTGCCAAGATGTGTGATGCTGGACAATTGAACCCGACCCCGTTCGTTGGGTGTGTAATCTGCATTTAAGGCCCAGGGGCCATCTTTTCATTCTGCTTCGGGTTTTCATTGATAAGACTTATATGATTATATAATTGTGACCAATAGTCCCTTTTTTTTGCGGAGGACATCATCCAATCCAATCCCCATATCTTTTCCTTATCAGAACATTGTTACCCTCTGGTAAACTGTTACATAACTAAAGAAAATCACCATGCTATCAATGGGTAAATCCACTATTTCTATGGCCATTTTCAATAGCTATTTTGACATAACCAGAGGGTATATCCATCATTATTATATAACCCATTATTAACCATATATTAACCATTATTGACCTATTATTAACCATTATTGACATGACTGGCTCATATATTAACCATGATTAACCATATATTAGCCATTATTGACCTTATTATTAACCATTATTAACCATATATTAACCATATATTATCCATTATTATCCATCATTATTAACCCATGATCAACCATATATTAACCCATTATATACTCACGACTGGCTCATCCCCTTAGCTTCCAGCCGCCAAGGTCCCAGCATGCCACCGCGCTGGCCACCAGCACCACCCAACAGGCCGCCGCGCAGCCGGCGGCACGGCGGCCGGCGTCGGCCGTCGCTTGGTTCCAGCGGTAGAAACGGTGCAAAGTGGATTAATAATGGGTGATATATGGTTAATATATGGTTAATATATGGTTAATAATGGGTTAATATATGGTTAATCCAAATATATGGTTAATAATATATGGACGGGGGATCGAACCAACAAATTTGGGGTGATTTAACTGGTAAAAAAAAAAGAGTGTGCCTTAGTGCCTTAGGAAGAATCAGGGTTGAAGCGCACAAACATATAGGGGTCTCCATTGTCTCCCTGTGAGAACGATGTGGTTTAGGTAAGTTGGTTTATTTCTCTAGGCGAACGATGGGATTGATGGTGGATTTTAGCCATAGTGTGATCAACGATGAAACCTCAATGTGATATTTCGATATAGTTTAACAACATAAACATAGGATATCTAATAAGCTTAGACATGGATCTCCCCCTCAACCTGGCACTGCAACCTTGCCGGCCATTTAGAGGCGACTGAGCCTTTTTGGATTGGAGAGGCCACCTATATATTTGACCCAAGAGTCACATCGTGAAACTGCGTGGAGTTTAGGGTACCCTCCAACATGTGGAGAACAACACACCACTTGTGGATCATTTTTCTTGGGTTTCCCATATTTTCCATAACATTTTCTCAATGACAAAAACTGGCGAAAATCCCCAATAGCATGACCCTGTCCCCATCCGAGGTCTTAAGTCAGAGCAAGGACGTTCTCATCCCTTTGAGGAGCGAATGGAGAGCCAGACCCCACCCATGTAATAAACCCAATTAATTTGCTACCCTGTTATAGCAACACCCAAGAATCAAGAGATACAAACGTTAAATCCTACTAGATCCTACTAAATGTAGTAAATAGTGATAGACTCTAGACTATCTAGATTACTTTTTGTGTTCTTTTCTTTGGAATGTGTTACTATACACGGGTCATGTGACATCATCGCAGATAGGCAGAGTAGGTGTGCCCAAAAATGAACCCTCATTAGGGATGCTTTCTTCTGGGGTTTACCAAATTGCGGTATGTTACGTGGTGTGTGTCGCTATCTACATTTGGGTTATGGTTCGGTACTAAATGCAGGTACAATATGTGGGTTTGACATGGATATCCAAAATGTCCCTATTAACAAAGCCATTTGGGGGGTATACCATATGTCATATGTTCAGACACACCCATATGCAGGATACACAAATGCCATTTGGGGGGTATACCATATGTCATATGTTCAGACACACCCATATGCAGGATACATGGATGATCTGAGAAATGATCTACTTACTCAAGTTGATAAGATAATGCAGCACGGAAAAAAAAATACTTCCAACTTCCAACCAATCACGTGATGACATTCATATTATGAGAGTGACATTATGAGATTTTCTGAGCCACAGAGGATGTGCGAGCAATTGCTATTGTTTTGTGTTTTTTTGGTGTTTCGATTTTGCATTTTTTTCGTGTTTTTTTCCTGTTGTTTTTTGTTGTCGTGTTTTTTTTTGGTATTTTGCTCCTTCTGGTTGTTGCCTTCTGTTTCATTGCGCCATCTTCCTTCTTGTTTTTTCCCCCTTTTGCTATTTCAGCTTGCCTTCGCGCTTGCCACTGGCCATTGTTTTTCCCGTTCTGCTGGTCTTGCCCACGGTTCTTGGTCATTGCGGCACTTTGCCTATGGTTTCCATCCTTGTGGCACTTTGCGTGTGCCGAATTTCGTAACAAGAGACCGGCTCGACAGTCAAAGCTTAAGATTTGCATGTCCCTCTGTTCTGCTGCCACCTCCTAGCTCCAAAAAAAGCCAAGAACGCCTCGCAGCCCGGAAGGGGAGAAAAAACACACCAAAAGCAACACCAAAAGCAACACAAAAAAAAACGCAAAAAAAACACAAAAAAACGCAAAAAAAAACACAAAAAAACGCAAAAAAAATGCAAAAAAAATGCAAAAAACTCGAGGTTTTTCTCGTTTTTCTAAATTTCATTGGTTGCTCGGGGCTGCTCTGAAGAGGTCCTGTTTTTTTCCTGTTCCGTTTTCGTGTTTTTTTCGTGTTTTTTTTTTGTGGTCGCTTTCCCTTCTGCGTTGGGTCCTGTTCTTTTCCCGTGTTTTTAGTGTTTTTCTGCCTGCCATCTGCATTGGGATCCTGTTTTGGCTTTATTCTCCTCTCATCCTGGGTTGTGCTCCTGTGTTTTGTCTACGCTTTCATTTGGTTTTGATCGTAGCGCTGCAATTGGCCGTTTGGTCTGCGAACTTGCACAGGGCCGGTCACTTGAAATTGGAAAGCCTGGATTGGAGAAATATAGCAAAACATCAAACAAGGCATGGTAAACAGAAAAAACCAAGAAGCAACACAAAAAACACCATCCGCAAACAGTGCAAAAGAAGAGGAAAAACAACAGGAAAAAAACACCAAAAAAACACAAAAAAAATGCAAAATCGAAACACCAAAAAAACACCCAAAAAACGCGAAACAATTAAAATCCACAATCCTGGCCTCTGGCTAGTAAAACATCTCATAAGAGTGACAATTGTAAATTAATCTTTGTATTCGCTTCTATAATGTGTGTTGTTTATTTTTAGATCCACATCATTCTGTAACATATCACAACAATAAATAACGGCACCATGCAGCAACTACCCTCTGGAAATTTAACATCGCTATGGAAATTCACAAAAAATAGATAAGTCATCAAATATGGGGACGGCTTAACTGTCCCGTAAAATGGCTGGTTATATCATATATCATCATATCTCCCCATTGAATCCCACGAAAAATCACCCGCAAAATCAGCATCTCACATGAATTCCCATGAAACTTCCATTCAATGCCTATGTTCAATAGTTAAATCCATATGAAATCCTTTCATACCCATTAAACCACCAGTAAATGACCATGTTCAATGGTGAATTGAGTATTATATAATCATCCTAAAATCCTCGGAAATCCCATCAAATCACCATTGAATCACCAGTTTCAATGGTTAATTGATTCCCTTTCATCCTAAAACCCATAATTCCCATTGAATCACCATTAGAATTAGAATTACCATTGCCCTCAAAGAATCACCATGTTCCATCAGATTTCTGGGCCTTCCAGGAGCCCCAAAGATTGGGATCCGCAAGCATCGGAATCACCCAGCTTTAGCCGCAGCCGCCGCCTGGGGCAGCTGTCGCATCGCCTAGAGCTTTGTTTGGGCCTAAAGGAGGCAGTGGGGGCAGCGGTGAGAGGTCCCAAAAATGCTGGGAGTTTCTTGATGATTATCATGACCTTGTTGTTAGGGCTTGTTCAGGGTGAAATATGATGATTCAGCCAGATACATGGTGTTTAACCAACAGAAATGGGTATAGAAGTTGATATAACATGATATAACATGATATAACCAACAAACATATACAAAAATGACTGGAACCAATGATGATTTGTAGCTACCCTCACCCTCTGATAATCAAACATGGCGTGCTGGAAAATCCCCCAGTGGAGTTCGATGATTTTCCCAGCGAACTAAACCTCCACGGCTAGTTCGGTCATTTTTTGTTGCCATATTTGATTACCGGAGGGTAATGGGGACTTGATGGGATGAAATATAGACATCATATGATAACAAGGGATATATGGCTATGATCATGTAGATCATGTGTGACAAACATAATGTATGATATGGAGATATGTACTGGGTTTTATTGTGTAGATGCTGACAATATAGCTATGACATTGGGGTGTTGTAGATAATATCTTTGATGTCAATAGATACTCGTATAATGCCATTTCAGGCATCCAATATCGAATTCGTTGGATCAATTCTACTTCTAGTTGCTTACCTCTTACACTGCTTCCATCGACAATTTCATCCGGTTTTCTTGGTGCTCTTTCAGATTACCATCTGGCAATCTGAACTCATTTGACATTCCACGAAATTCCCCAGTGATCCAGTTGTGTCCACCCATTTGATCCGTCAGGCTGCCGCCAAAGCCAGCTGTGAGCCTGAAAAAGATACCTGCGTGGACTGAAAAGGGCCCTTTCCAATGGGAACCAGATTTTCCAAAATTAGCGCCCCCAGTTATAAGTTCGTTTGCAAATTCCATTATATATATATACATTGTAACATCTGTAAGTCATAAGTACTCGTACATATAGTTTCCATAAACCCTATAATTTGCCTATACTAGTGATGCCCCCCAATAAGAGCCGGGGTCACCGCTTTTCAGTTCGCTTCTTTTTTGGAGGTCCATGTTGGCTTCATGAGCGCAACCTTCTCAGATCGATGCATGTTTGATCGCCGATGTACACCTCCGAAGCTGTTTAGACCCAGCTCCCAACCAGCGGTGCTGCTGCTTTTTTTGTGGCCTGGCGGAACTTGAGGGGCGTGCACTTCATGAAGATCTTATAACTTTTCCCACCCCAAAACCCCGAAGAGCCGCCGCTTATTTCAGGCGCGATGGCGCGCCAAGTGCGGCAACGCCGCTGCTTGGGCGCGGCAGCGGCACTTCTGGCCGCCCATGGATCAGGGTAGCTTGGATAACTTGGATGCCAGGGCGGTCAAGTTATTGGACTGTATAAGTTGTTGTTGGGGGATGGTCATCAATCTATGTTCATAGGGAAATTTGTACGAATTATGTTCGGATTCGCATGAAGTGGGATGAATGACGACCATAAAACCATATCATGTTTGATCCTAGCACAGATGGTGACTGATGGGGATGCGTAAATATGCCAATGAAAACCAAACATAATGGGGATAGAATAAGGACATTTCTAAGCAACAATGTGCTATTTGGGTGCGCTTGAAAACGGGGCACCACCATCATATCCGTGTTTTTTTTGCTGGGACTGAGTTGCCATAAAAGGTGTTGGCGTTGGTGTTGGTGTTGGTGTTGGTGGTGGTGTTGGTGGTGGTGGTGGTGGCGGTGGTGGTGGTTAAATCCACCGTTTTCAGGCACACCCAGATTCAGATGATGTAATTGACTGACATGGTTGGGATATCGGTGGAAACATGTAAAAACCAGGCTGCTCCAAAGCTTCGTTGGCTGGGCGAGTCCTGCCCATCGCCGCCTCCCTGGTAGCCACTTGACGCGATGGGCGGAAGCCGAGACCGACCTGGTGGTGCCTCGGCAACAACAAAAGCTTGGGGATTTAAGCGTTGAACACCGTCCTTCAAAACCATATTTCTCGGAATGGCTATACAACATCAAAACCAACCATGCGGGATATTTCTCGCTGGAACTCATGGGATGACTATAACCTATGGTAATCAAACATTTTGCTCGTAAACAAGTAAAATCATCTACCACTTGTCCATAGAGATGTTAGATTACGAGTGTAGGGGGACAATGATTTCACCAGAAACAATGATATAGCCACTAGTAGGTTCAGGTTTAAGCATCAATAGTAAGAGGCGCTTCGAACCATCCAACATGGGGATGGAACCAGAAACATCATCAAGAAACATGGGGATGAGATAAGCTGAATAATGATAGGATACTTGTTAGGGTATTTGCTGTCAAACTGACTGGAACGGGAGTTCAATACTTGAATTTGTTGCTATCAATGGGGATATATATATATAGAACCAGATAGTAGATGATTTTGTGGCAAGGTATCCAAGCTTGGCACTTCCCTGGGCTTGGTTTCGCAGTCATGGAACGACTCTATTAGAGTAATTTGATATTAAAGCCTAGAGCGTGGATTAAACTAATTACTGTAGGTGGATTAGGGAATCCAATTTTTGAGACAACTGAAAGTTTAGAAAACATGGGGAACACATCTATTGAGCTGGTATTAAAGCCTAGTTAGGGGGAGTTGTGGGCCTTGTACAATTTTAAGATCTGAGTCGTGATGGTTGATCTTTTGAGGAAAGGATCGGTTTCATGGCCACAAGAATCAGGCTCAGGACACAGTACTGCACAAGTCATCAATATTTGTCCACATCGCAGGGCAAAATACTATATGTCACAAAGCCATGGTTTTTGTTTGTATATATAAAATTTATGTATTATCGAAGGAAGTTTAGAAGTCAAACTTCCGACAATATGGACAGATGAAAAGCAGAGATGGGAAGAGTCAGAGAGAAGAGAAGAGTAGAAGAGAGAAGATGAGAGAAGAGAAAGAGTCAGAAGAAAGAAGATGCAGATGCGCGAAAAGGTAGGAAAGTCGCGAAACACTGTGTTTTTCCAATGATTTGTGGCTCCGGAGGGTCGAAAAGTAGGCTCGCTAAAGCGGCGGGTGCGGAGCCATCTGGCCAGATGAGAGATGGAAAAGTTGCACGCCGTTGTGGCGCGAAGCACATTTGCAAGCGAAAAAGCTAAAAACACCTCACGTTCGGAGCACTTTTGGAAGTTGAGATCTCGAAAAAAGTGCACGCCGTGGTGGCGCGAAGCACATTTCGAAGTCAAAATGTACAAAACACACCAGGGGTTCGGACCACTTTTAAAAGTTGCGATGTCGAAAAAGTGCACGCCATTGTGGCGCGAAGCACATTTCGAAGCCAAAAGGTTAAAAACACCAGGGGTTCGGACCACTTTTGGACGTTCAGATGTCGTTTCGCGTGGCAGGCGCAAGGGATTGTGCACCTTCTCAAAAGTCAGCAAGACGTGAGGGTTTTGTAGCATGTCCAAAAACAAAGGCAGGCGTGGGACATTTGAAGAGGATCTGCAAAGATGCATTTCGCGCGGCAGGCGCAGTACAAGAGACATGTTCATCAGAGATGTTAGGAGGTCAGGGTGCTGATTTCCTGAGAGGGGTTGCATTTTGGAGCATCAGACCTGTAGGTTTGCGAAGATGATTTTGCGTGACAAGTGCAGCACTTCGTATGACCTGGCATCAATTTTTCGTGGCAGGCGCAGTACTTTAGACAGGTGAAGTGGAAAAAACGCAAAACACATTGGTACGAGGCTGTCAGCGCTGCACTCAACTTACGATTTTTGAAGGAAGTCTCGCAGAATTGCTTTGTTTTTGAGGTTGTCAAGTTCAAAAATTGAATAAGTGTCGCAGAATTGCTTCGTTTTGGATATTGTCTAGTTCAAAACATGAAGAAGTGTCGCAGAATTGCTTCGTTTTTGATATTGTCAACTTTGAAAAATGAAGACGTCTCCCAGAACTGCTTCGTTTTTGACGTTGTCAAGTTCAAACATTGAGGAAGTCTCGCAGACTTGCTCCGTTTTTGATGTTGTCAAGTTCAAAACCTGAGGACGTCTCGCAGAATAGCTTCGTTTTCAAGCTTGCAGATAGACCGGTAGATAGATAGATAGATAGACAGACAGATAGATAGAAAGATAGATAGATAGGTAGATGGGGAGATAGATAGATACATGGTTAGATAGACAGATGAGATAGATAGATAAACAAATAGCTCGATAGATAGATAGATAGATAGATAGGATAGATAGGATAGATAGGATAGATAGAATAGATGGATGGATGGATGGATGGATAGATAGATAGATAGATAGTTAGATAGACAGATGAGAGAGAGATAGATAGATAGAAAGATAGATAGATCGGTAGGTAGGCATAGGTAGATAATCAGAGAAAGAGAGAGAAAGAGAGGAGACATCAATCACCTTTCGATCCATCATTGGCTTCGCTCTGCCATCCGTGATTCACAACAACCAATCTCTCCTATACGTTTCCTATTTTTGGAACTTCCGCCACGGCCTTGTGCGGTACTACTGGTATATATGTATATATATATATATTTATTTATTTGTTTATTTATTTATGTATTTATATATATTTATATATTTATATATATTTATATATTTGTATATTTATATATCTATATATTTGTATATTTATATATCTATATATATATATATAGATTTATATATGTATATATTTATATATATATATATATTTATTTATATATATATATTTATTTATTTATATTTAATTCACGTATAGATACATCTCGGGGTATTTCTGCCATGGTCAAAACTTAAACTTGGGTATTTTATCCATATTGGGGGATGGTCATCAGTTCATGTTCATAGTGATTTATATTCCCAGTATGTTTTGGATCCCCACGTATCGGATGAATGAACGAACATGAACGCACCCTATTCATCCTAGATTTGCTGAGTTCCCATTATCATCCCAAAACAAACCTATTGTTGTGTTGATGTTTAAATCGTGTCATGGTCTTATTATTATCCCATCTTTTTACTGTTAACCCACATGAATCCACTATAGTCCTTCCTGTTGATGGATCATGACCTACTATCATCTATTTTTATTGTCCAGTTACCCTTCAAAAAACTAACATAGATGTGCAAAACCCGTCATTTGTAGATCATATCCTTACGAAAATTACGGGTTTTCCACATCTATGTTAGTTTATCCTAGGGTAACCATGGCTCACATGTGTGTTACTTTCCTCCGGATGTCATGATGGTGTTGAGGTGCCAATGACGGAGGCACCGATTTTCCTGACCCCAGTGGACGTGGTCACAGGCCCTGGGAATCTTTGGGAGATGGACCCTGGATCTCTTGGTAAACCTAGGGACCTGTTAGTTGCTTTGTGTCTGTGGCCATATATCGGGTTGTATGACACTGTCCAAAAGTTGATCATTGCCTTTGCTGTGGATCCAAGATTGGCGATGACATGGACCACGGTGAAACCCCCCAAAATGGATGGTGCAAATTAGATGACAACAGCAATTGCAGGAGAACCCTTTAATGAATTGCTGGGAAAGGCAATGTTTTCGTGTAGATTTCCCTTTAAACCATTCCGTTGATTTACTGTAACAATCCTAGACATGACGCTTTTTGTGGGGGATTGTCAGCGCCAGGTGAATGCGATGTGTCATCGCTTCCTGAGGCAAGATGAAGTTGGCCAAACATGTCGGTTCAACATTGATTGAAGATTTATTTTCACATGAGTTCAGATGATTGAAGATGTATTCACATAATTTGGACACATTTATAACATGATTAAACATGATGTTTAGCGTCTTTCACGGTCCGGAATGAGACATTGAACCAGAAAAATAGTGTGGACTGGAGCAATTTAAGCCATCTTATGGCAATCCTCAAAGGGATATGGAAGCCTGGGAAACGTTGATTTAAAGATCACATTCAACGTACTGGAAATTTATTGTTTGGGGAACCTCTATCTTTCGTTTTCCTCAAAAGTTTTGAAACGTCAAATGGTCCCGTTCCCGTACTTTTGAATATTGAATACCCGTAAGCAAAATCCCGGTGTAGGATCCTTTCATCTTGGGGGTCCCTAAACATGGATAAAATGATGATATTTATGGCATTTAATATTGTTATTTGCTACGCATCCCCATGTCAGAATGTTTAAATTTCATGGAACCTTCATGTTTGATCATTTTGGATGGTTAAAAAACTTATTGAACCCCCCACATTTTTGATCATGTTTGATAGTTAAAAACTCTTTCAAACATTACGGGATTGTACGTTGAACCCAAAAACCGATGGCTGCTTGCAGGAGATGGGCGTGTACGCGGTGTACGACACCAGCGAACGGTTGCAATATATCGGGCTCTCCAGGCTTGATCCACGATGGGGATGGGGATAGTAAAATATGGTTTACAAGGATTTACGAGGATATGTAGTGGTGGTGCAACCATCAAAACACCTGTTAGAGATATTTGATGGTACTAGTATATAAGCTTGGCTCCTCGTCAGAAACAACAGTCCCTGCGCCCCTGGTGCCTCAGACCCAAGGAGCTACAGATCATTTTCAGACGCAAGCGATTTTTGAAGCCACTCCGGCAGTGTCTTCCACTTAAATCTTCCCGTGGAATTTTGTGCCCCCAAATCGGACTCCGTGTCAATGGTGCCGTTCATCGTGTCGGCACTGCGTGGCTGCGTGGATACCCCAAAACTGGTTGCTGAAAAAGTGGGAAAAAGTGGGAAAAAGTTGGAAAAAGTGGGAAAAAGTGGGAAAAAGTGGGAAAAAGTGGGAAAAAGTTGGAAAAAGTGGGAAAAAGTGGGAAAAAGTGGGAAAAAAATGATCACCTGACATCGCTGCCCCGGAGGAACATCCAAAAGAGCGTGGAAACGCATGGCAAAGCCATCGGCATCCAGGAGGCCTGGGATGTTTTCCGCGAATAAGCTGGCCTCCCAGGAGCCATCCGAGGAGCCTGGCATTTCCCATTGGAATTGAAGCATCTAAATGGTGAGTTCATAGGGATTTTTCAGTAATTTTTCCTTGTGATTTTTGGAGATGTAGGGCATGAAAAAAATGTGTGAGTTGTTTGTTTCAATGGAATTTCAACGACAAGAAGTAGGGCTACTCCAACTGGTGAATCATAGCCCACAAGGGTGGAATTCTGTCATTTTACCTCTTCATCTACCCAGTTCCCTGCTTATATTTGTGGTGTTCGGAGCAACCCTGATGTTAACGCCATACATGAGTAACTGTAGTGTTTCAATGATGTGTAATTTTGTAAAAGTTATATATGCATGATTTCAATATACGTATGTGTTACTTTATTTGCCACTTTAAAGCTATGCGCGTGATTGATGGTAATTATTCGGTTATGGTGGCATATGATATGTGCGAATCATCAGTTCATGATCTTTGAATACCTTTGATCAGGTTGTGGGATTCATCCTTAGGACATCATGTTCTTTGTTAAAAGAAAGGTGTTACTTCACATTACACGCTACTTGATCTTTACTTTTACATGTTCCCTCAAAATTCACCGTACTGTACATCTGGAAAAATACAACGACCTCACTGTGACCTGACTGGAATCCCGGCTCGTATAGGGAATTATCCAAAATTGCCTTATTTATTCTCATTGCAGGTTGGTGAATGATTGAAATTTACCCAGATGATATTTTATTAAACATTCATTAAGATTTACAAATGAATGTAACATCAATTTTCATTTACATCATCACAATGGTTGGTAAATGAAATTTATGTTACAATATTTGGTTGGTAAATGAAATTTATGTTACAATATTTGGTTGGTGAATGAAATTTATGTTACAATATTTTGCATTCATTTCGTTTACATCATCGCAACGCCACGCAACGCGTCCGCAGGTGGGAGATCTGGTGGGCTCTGTGAAGTGCGTAGAGATGCCCGAGGGCAGCAAGGAGGAGATCGTGGGTCTGAAAATGGGTGATTTGACCAACGATATAAAGGTTATACGGGGATGTGTCAAACCTTGTACCCCTGGTGAACATCAAAATAGCTGGTAAATGGATGTTCATCCCCCTAAAAATGGTATTAATAGGTATTGATCCATACCCATAACACGTAGTAACATTAAGGTTTGATGTTTTGGAGATGACAGAATTAAGGATATTCAAGGAAATTATTGTCCAAATAATATGATATACTTGAAATTACTTGAACATATATGTGTGATGGGTGAAGTGTCGGTTCACCTATTATAAAGGATATAATGTAACTATCCCCATTTAAAACGGTGACTGAAAGGGATATTAAGGGGAATTGAATGGGAAAATAGTGAGAATTAAATGAAATATAACAGGATATAATGGATATTATACATGGAATATAACTGACAACTATAACTAACCAGCTACATTTATTCAAGATGGAATGCTTTATTGGATACAGCTGTAACGAACCAACCTTCTGCCATTCGGGTCGGAAATGCACGTCAAAAGAGGGAAAACGATGTTTCAAATATATTAAGCCATCAATTGATGTAGAGTACCTTAATACCTTATTTATTATAATAGCTTATAATAATAGCAAACCAAATGTTCCCAAAAAAAACGATGACTATGATTTATTTTGACTTATCACAGTTTTAAAAAAAATACAAATCGCTCTATTGGAATCCATTGGAAAGACCATTTTATTAGGTGTGTTCTTTTTCTGTTTAAACAGTTATGGAGTTATGGACAGATCCCTCCCCAAGGATCCCAAGGCACCTCACATTTCCCAGTTGCTGGCAGAGTCTCCCACTGAGCAAATCTTGAAAAAAATAGCAGGATTCGACTTAGCAACAGCAAGCAGAGACCTGAATTTTCAAAAAAAATGGCTATCAAAGCCTAAGTCATACCACATTTTGGAGGAATGAACATCCCTGAATTCCCCCAAATTCATCCCATCCAAACTGCCCGAAAGTGTGAGACACTTTCGGGATCCGCGCAACGGATCCCTGGAGCGAGGAGCTGAAGAGTGTTTGGGAGTTTTGGCTCAAGGCTGGACGAAAATTTGGCTTTTCTGCCAGGAAAAATGATGTGATAATGGAAGATTGATGGGGTATTGGGAAAGAACTGACCAACTGTGATTTTGAAACACTGGGGTTTGATTTCATAAAAGGTGATTTCAAGAGGGACAATGATGTTTTAAACCATCGAATCTTGGGCAATATGTTTAAGGCATACCCAAGGGCCGACGTGCCGGACAAACAGGTGACGAAATCAAATATTTGGATATCCAGAGCAGAGTTGAAACAAGGACGTTTCGGACGTGTGAGAGGTTTTAGATGGTTTTAGCCTTTGCCCGTTGACTACATGGGTTATCCAGCTCACAAATCTCTGTCAGATAAATGAAAGCATGTTCGAAACCTTCCACTGCTCTATTCGGGGCATGGATGTCCAAAAACAATCCAACCAAGTTCCCTTTCTTTGTGTTTCAAACATCCGGCAAAATTGTGGAGGAACCTTGAGTCCCTTACAAAAAACAACAAGGATAGACCGACCATGAATTTGTGAAGCAAAGAGACACAGGGTACCCCGCAAATCTCATGGTTTGTTACAGTTTTTGATTTTAAGTTATCCATCTTGAGGGTATTACCATGGTATATCCATGGTCCAATGGTATATCCCAATTTCACAGAGTTGATGGCTTACATTTCACCAGAATCACCGGCAGGAACATTTGGGCAACGGCGGGGAGATTCCCGTGGGGTCCATGCTGGCTCGCTTTTGGTACTCCACGGACTCCGCGGACTCCGCGGACCATATCATGTACATTGAGTTTGTTCTATGATTATGGTATTACTTCAATAATCTTCAATATGTTTCATGTTTTTCATGTTGGTGGCTCATCCCACTTGGTAAGTCTTGGTAAGTAGGCAATAGTCCTACTTACGATTCGTGGGAGAAGTAGGATTAATCCACTTAGAGTAAAATCACTTATAGCAACCCCCAAAGCCCAAAAAGTGCATAAAAGGATGGTAGTTCGATGATATGGCCTTCATATGCCTCCATATTTTCATATATTTTCTAGCTTTCAGGCACTTTCGGCATCTATGACTGTACCCGACTGGAGCCAGGAACCTCCCGGAGAACGCGCCGGGCGCGGACCCGCGCTGGAGAAGTCGAGGGGCGCAGGCGGAGTGCCAATCGGATTGGGGGGGCACCCCATTTCCGCATTTGAAGTGTGAAATGAATGGATTCTGCTTATAAGATCTTACCCTCTGGTAATTTAACATAGCTATTGAAAGTACCCTATGTAATTTAATTATAGTGAGTTTTCCCATTAAAAATGGTGATTTTCCATAGTTATGTTAGTTTACCAGAGGGTATAAGAATAGCAGTTGTTACTCAGTTACAAAAAAAAAACTTGGAAATTCGATAGAATTGGTGTACCATTACAACCACCATTTTTCTCAAATATGTGTTGTTCTTGATACCAATGGAAGCGGTTGGATGTTCCCTGGGATGATCCCACTTGACCCATCTTGATGCTGTGCACTCCCAGTTTTGCATTTTGATAGACAAGCATGAGGATGAACCATCAACATGAAAATTTCATAAATTTCGATTTCCGGGTATGCTTGAATTTGTGTTCTCCATGTAATTCCCCGATTTGGGGAATCTAGAAGATCTATAAAGATCTGATCTTTTTTGGGCCATTTGCTGCAAGATTTGACCCTGACAGTGACAGAACCGAGGAATTTACCCGCGAATAGGGTTTCAACCCTGACAAATTAGGAAATCGGGAGCAGAGATACAGATGCAACACGCACAACAAATGGAAACTAATTGTAATGGACATGATTAAAGTCAACCAACTGCACTCTTGGCAAGCTACAATGTAGCCAAGAAAGACAACATGAAAAAGAGTCCGAGGATAGATCTAGCCAATCGCCATGGATATGTCACCATCACGGAAGAGCATTCCAACTAAGAAAACCGGGAATTGAGAGTAGAAGCACGTGGTTTCAACCAACAAAAATATGGAATCCACCCAGTAAAAATGTAAAGCTATTGCGATGTGTGCAAGTGTGTCTGTGTGTGTGTATAGCCTCGCCACAGGCAAAGCCGTCTTTAAATCTGGGCGGCGTCGCAGGCGACGCATTTGGCATTTGAAAGCTACCCTGGTGTGGCAGAAACATGTGGGAGACAATCAAGACCGCCTTACAGTACTTTGTCATAAAAAATATATCAGTTGTACATCCCAAAAAATATCTCAACTCTCTCTCCCAGACACATTTTTTTCAGGATCCTCATGAGAACTCAATTGTGACTGCTAGAAAGATGCTGCATTGCTGTTGATGGGCCGATTGGTCACGGATGGTCCCCCAACATCCAGGGTTTTTTACCCCAGTTTCCTTAGATTACCAGATCATATACTATGTTTGGGAAAATGGGGACCATCCTTTACTAGGAAATACTAGGAACTATACTATGTTTTATTACCCAAGATCCATGTTTGGGAAAGTATTCCTGTGAATCTATCAGAAACTGTAGAGATGGAAATCCTCTTTCATGGGGCTTAACATGGGCTCAACAACCATATTGTTGGTTGTGGCATGCGCAACAATGAACCTATAGACCAGTTTGGGATGTTTTTATACCATTCATCTATGGCCATATAGGCTTTATCACACAAATATACTGTGACGTTCCTTTACATAGCCATATTTTTGGTTACTGTACATCCCACAAAAAGTTCGATGATCTTCAATGCCCATTTTATACCGGACTGGTAACTTCACACGTTGCTACAACGGACATCCGTTGTTACAACGGTAAACCATGGAACGAAATGAACCACGGCAGCCATGGCAGTTTTTCATTCTCACCGGGCATCCGCCTTTGTGGGACAACTGACAGGAAATCCCGGTTAGGAAATTGAAGGTACCCTCTGCTCAATGAAGATTTTTTTTTGATATGTATACATCAATGTAAATCATTGAATTATCAACGGAGCCTCTTTCATCGCAAATTGTTAAATTGTTAAAATACTGGAGGATATCATGTGTTGCGATGCCTAATGTTGTTAAAATACTGGATTCTGTTGTTAAAAATTGTTAATGGTTAAATATCATGATAAAACCGCTGGGGTTGTCCTACCAGGTTTTTTTCCACCAACCCCTTGGCAACTTAGGCATTGCTTCCCAAGCTGAAGCCCTGGATGCGGTGAGGCGAGTAGCCTGAAGCTGACTGGGGGGCGTGTTTCCAGCTATCCAACTATAGAAAACCAATGGATGCCATCCAGTTTCACATAATTTTCTGATTGGTGGTTTGGAACATGTTTTTTTCCCATATATTGGGAACAATCACCCCAACTGACTAATATTTCTCAGAGGGGTTGAAACCACCAACCGGTTTTATATAAATTAACAATCTATTTACCATCCACTAACATGAATTGGAGATATGTATAGATATGTGATATGATTAGGAATTACTTGGAAGGGACTAATTCGGATGTTGCTGGGTGCATTTTCTTACCAGACATGGAGGAACACAGTGACTATCCCATCAAAAAGCTCTATATATATAACTACATATATATATATGTGTTATATATGATATTATATACAACTATATATACATATATATATATTGTTTTTTTCGGGGTAGTGAAGGTTGCGGTAAGTTTCAGCATGTTTCAGGCTTTGGAGGGTTTTCCACATGTTGACGTTTGGCAGAGCCGCTCTGACCGCTCCGTTGATCAAATCCGCACTGGACGAAGTGGGAAAGTCGATGAAGCTTCCTGGGTCAATCCAAAGTTGGTAAACCATGTAAAGCCACTAGAGAACATTTGGTGAGGTGGAGAAATGGTATTCAGTGTTATCCTTTCATTTTTAAATGCGTGGCTCAAACTTAGCTATATGATGTATCATGATGTATCATGATGTATCATGATGTATCATGATGTATCGTTACGCAAAGTGGTACTTCTGATTGCTGTGAAAAGATAGGTATTCCCCTTCAAGTATAAGGCTGGTTCACACTAATCCTGCCTTAACCTTTCCAAAAAACAGATTCTTGGTTATACGAGTTATATATATATATTTTTAAAAAAAAAACAATATATACAATATTATCATATACTATCTATATAATTCTATATATATATGATATATGTTGATATATTATATATCCCACATGTTTATCCTAATTATATAGTATTTTAATATAGAATCCCAATAAGTCTCACTGTCCCAAGTTATTTATCCAAGTTGTATCCAATTAAAATATATACCCTCTGATAGTTTTACGTAGCTATTGCAAATACCCCATTTGCAGTTGATTTACAAATTTTAAATTGGCGCTTTCCTCTGCGTAGCTATGTTGGTTTACCAGAGGACACATATATAATTATATATATACATCATTAAAGTTATACCTTAAGTTAGTTATACCTTAGTTATACCATAAGTTACCTATATATAGGCATGTTATTCTCCTTTAGTTATACCCAATTAAGATATCATAAAATATCCATATCATATTCCAACGTCTTGGGTATCCAATTTTAGAAACCGGCCAGGCAGGCTGTCGAGGAAAATCCCGTAGTCTTGCCTTTGGGCAAATGGCGCTGGGCCGGGGCGCGTTGTTTCAAGATGTTGGGAAAACCACCCGAAATGTTGGGAAACTGTTGGAGAAATGTTGGGAAAATGTTGGGAAACTGTTGGAATTCTTGATGTTCAATGTTCAAAGATGTTCCTCTTTAACAACGGTTATTTCGTAGGGGCCCCATTTTCGGACAAAGCCGAGTGTACTGACTTAGCCTGGAGAAGTTCAAATATGTTCAAATATGGTCAGACGTAATGATAGATTTAATCGCAATCTGCACCATGATATTCGGATATACAAACATGAATCAATTTTCCAATTTTAGATGGACTTTGGGACTCATAGTTTCTCACCGGTGTAAATCCGACTATCTGAAGGATCTTTTCGTACAAAAGACGCTCGAATCCTGTGTTTACGATGAATTCAGGTTGCCAAGAGGACTATGATAATTTAAATATAATATCTAGTTTATCACATGTTTTTTTACATAATTTAGATGACATGATGACATGATAACATGCATCTTACATCCTGCATGGTAAATATTTCATGGGTACCAGGGATCCCGGATGGGTTAAAAAAACATCGCAGGTGTGGAAGACCCATGGATTCCGTAAGGAAAATCATCTACACATGGTGGTTGTTGTCCATATTTAAGTGTTGCTTTACAGAAGGGTAAGTCAACTTGACTGAGAACAGATTTTTCGAACAGGTGTGGCGTTGGAAATTGAGATCAGCGATCAAAATAGAGATGAGGGAATGGCATCGCCTTTTGCAGTAACCTCGAACCATTTCCGTCGCTCACGTGAGTAAATGTCATCACTCAGAAGAAGCTGGCAGAAAACACATGAAAACACCATTAAAATACATATAAAACCAGATTCAATCATGAGATATGGATTGATCTCTTGGTTTTAGTGCGATCTCGGACATTTGACTGGTGTTTTTGCATTTTGCAAGCCGAGGTTTATGAAAGGCACTCCAGCAATGCCACAGCAACTTGGCCCGGAGGATCTTGGGAGACCCTTTGGGCATTCAAGGACACATGGGCATCCAGATGATTCCAAAGCGTGTTTGGAACAATGGAGAATTACGCAGCGGATGGGGGGGTTAATGATGTTTAATGATCATGATTATTATATATTATTATTAATGGAGAATTAAGCAGCAATTGCTACTTGGGTCAACTGACTGATGCGTGAATGGATTATTGTCTTGAGATTTCACAAGTAATGATGATATATGGAGTCACATTACATCGTATATGGTAACAGGGATCAGCAACAATACCCACTTTCAAAGTGTGATATTCTTGAACCAAAAGATATGGAACTGGCCGCCGCTCGATGATTCAGTTGTTCCTGAACCAATGAAAATCCAGTGCCACTGATGAGCGGATTTTCATTCCTACAATCATCACTCCGAACAGAAGGCTATGGGAAACACATGGGAATGTTGGTCCCAACAACAGGGGCACAATCTAAGACCCATCCCCACTATGCGACAAACATTCATGGCAACTATCACAGGGATTCAACCCCCCAATTTCGGAGACCACCCCAAGAATGGATAGTTGAGGTTGAGATTCGCCATTCTTCTGCAGGTTGCTGGTGGTCGAGATTTATTCAAAAACCATCATCACCATCATCACCATCATCACAATCATCACAATCATCACCATCATCACCATCATCACCATCATCACCATCATCACCATCATCACAATCATCACAATCATCACCATCATCACAATCATCACAATCATCACAATCATCACAATCATCACAATCATCACAATCATCACAATCATCACAGTCATCACAATCATCACAATCATCACAGTCATCACAATCATCACAATCATCACAACCACCACCACCACCACCACCATCATCATCATCATCATCACCATAACACAGTTTCATCAGGAAATAGCTAAATTACTGTATGATAAATTGATATAAAAGATGATTTCGCAGCCCAACGTTTGATTTTGGAGCGTAAATCCCATTCTTTCTGGGTGAAATCCCATATGTTGGCAAAATCATGCAAAATCCATATGGGTAAGTAATATTAAGTAATCATGTGCCTATACTTTCCCCGGTTTTTTTGCTGGTTTCAATACCCATTGGTATCTTAAACATTGCTACTTCAGTGGATATCTGGTGAGGCCCCCCAGCTTCGGTGATATGGTGATATGGTGATTGAATATCGGGCCGGGCGGTGCCGGCATACGCTCCTGGGTTGGACCTCAGAATGCTGGTGGACCTACTTCATCAATCTTCATCATGGCATCTTGGAAACGATGTTTGCGGCAAAGATGGATGAACAGCTACACTGCAGCTACACGCAGCTAGCAATTCACTTCGGAATTCCGCGCGAGGTCGAGAGTCGAAAAAATGAACTGGGCGCTCCGACGTCTGACTAATGCCCTCTGTAAGGGCTATGACAGTGATGTGATGGTACTATGGCTCGATTGGATGATGGTGCTGATCAGGATCTTCGCATCAGGATGCTGGCATGGTCAGCTTTGCTCCAGTTCTGGTTTTTGCAGAGTGAATTAATTACATTGAATTACCCTCTGGTTTTGTTTCTACATAGCTATTAGCTAAATCACCATCTTCAGGTAAATCATCATGTGAATCATCGAACTAAATGGGCTATTTTTCATGGCAACCTGTGACACGTGTCCCAGGTGCGGCTTCAGCGCCCGCACCTCCGGCTTGCTGCGAGAGATAGGCGGCCGGCGGAGCCCTGAGAGGGTGAATTCTCTGGTGAAATTCCCCAGGTGTTTGGCATGATTTTTTATGGTTGGTTCCCAATTCCCTATAAATATTATTAAATATTCATGATTCCTAACTGGAGACTGAGAGGGTTTGCCAAGAAACATAGGGAATTGACCATGAAATGAACATGAATTAACCATGAAACCATGAAACCTATGGATTTCATCATCAAAAAATGTCGATGGGGGATGACCTTGCTGATCTTGCTCGACCCGCTGGGGAGTTCACCCTCCAGCAGGCAAAACTCAGAAAATATGGTGAATGAAATGGGAATTCAGCCAGAATTACCCTCTGGTAATTTAACATAGCTATTGAAAATGGTGATTTATAGTGGATTTTCCCATTAAAAATAGTGATGTTCCATAGTTATGTTAGTTTACCAAAGGGTATCTGGGTCAGCCTATTTTTTATGGCTTCTATGAGTAGTACTACTTGTAATAACTGAATCTTTGGCTTTAGATCAATGGGGATATTTTCTAACTAACCATATATATATTTGTGCCACGACAAATGGTAAGTAACTGTGTTATCATCCCTTACAAGTGGGATATGATGGGTTATTACCCATAGCATCTAACCATTGACTTCCAAGATCCAGGATTCTTCAGTCCCACTGGTTGGTTGAGAGCCAAATGGATCCAAATGGTATAAAAATATCACTAGAGATGATTGTTTTCCAGCTATAAAGTTCCATTTAATGCTAGGATTTCACAGCCATGTTTAATTGCCTTCAAGTAATGTGTTAGAAAACTGAACTTTAGTTGGAACAGTCTTTCCATAGCTAGCTTGATTGTATTTCCACATAGACTTCAGGAACTCAAACTGAGCTTCTTTCCAAACGGGGAAAAAACAGCTTTGACAATCTGGGTCGGATCTCAACTCAGACAAGAATGCCTCCAGATGTTGGACCTGAGCTTGAGACACTGTCACAGCAAGAGAACACCAGGGCGGTTCTTCTACTGTCGCCGGACCGGGGTGCAGAAAAAGTCATTTCGCCCTGCGAAACTGCTACGAACTGCTACGAGCAGTGTGCCTTTCAACTCGGCCTTCTCTAGATGACCAATGCTTGACCAATGCTGCAACCCTCTGGCAGATTTGTTGATGGAACTGGCGGAACCGAGAAATGGATTAGGTTTCAGAAGAATGGTTTTTCCACCAGATTCAGACCATGGATGCTTATCATGGTGTGTCACCATTCCGGGTTTAGGGGATCCGCTAACCCTGGCAGGGGTTCCATTTGAGACTGTGAACGTCTTAGATGAGAACAACAACCCTGGAGTCAGAGAGGCCTTCCGGATTGCTGGGTGGATGTAGAAATCATATTGCCCTCAGGAAGTGGGGGGAATTCCAGAGCCAGATGGATAGATTTTATGGTGAAAATCATCGACCTATTGCTGGTGGATTGTCCAGCAAGCCACGTTTGACGACCGGAGGGGATGATTTTTGAATTTCCCAATGGGAAATACACTACTTGGGGAGTCTATTATAGCGAATATGTTTGATTTTTTCAGGTGGTCCTGAAGCAAATCCAAGTAAAGAAGAGATATAGTAAACTATATCATATATATATAATTATATATATATATACATATCAGATATTCATATATCATATATATATATATCATTTATGTCATATCCCTGTTTATTAGCGTGAATGTGGACCGGATGTGTATCATAGAGGGTGGATGTCCTTAGGAGATGGCGAGGCGCCCAGCAGCAGCCAAAGGTTGAAGGTAGACGTGTTTGTTGTTTCCTACCTATTTTTGCTACATTGTAAAACCCTCGGCCACTGGTAAGTGATTGATGTTGACAAGATACCCTCTGGTTATGTCAAAATAGCTATTGAAAATGGCCATAGAAATAGTGGATTTTTCCATTGATAGCATGGTGATTTTCCATAGTTATGTGACAGTTTACCAGAGGGTACATGGTAAAATGTTGTGACCAAGATGTACACTTGTAAAATCTTGTAAACTAGCCCTCCCCAATCTGACCAGAAATATGTCAGTGGTATCAACAATCACCCCCTGGATCTCGCTCTCCTCAGTGGATCTTGGCAGGCAGTGAAGGAATTTGGCCAATGGCCCACGTGCCTGGACGTTGAGCGCTGATGGTTGATGAGTTTGTGGATACTATTTGCGAGACACCAATACATGCGGAATACATTCGGAACGAGATGGAATGACTATATTATATATATATAACTGGTTGCTGGTTTGGAACCATGGAATTTTATGACTTTCCATTCAGTTGGGGATTTCATCATCCCAACTGACGAAGTCATATTTTTCAGAGGGGTAGGTCAACCCCATTCCCAACCAGTGGTTGAGGATTCCACAGCTCTACGTCTCTGGGCAACTGGTTGGAGGCGCCAGCGGCCCATGGGGTGAAGTGGTTAAGACCCAGGGAAGGCTTCCTCCGCCCTCTGGTAGGAGTTGTCCTATGAGTTTAGATGAGTGAATTGCGATGATGTGATGTGATGTGTGTATATTGTATGCAAGATATGTAGAATTATGTAGATGGAAGTGAACGATGAGAAATGAAATGCCAGGGCATACAACCAATGCAGAATTTCATCAAACAGCGCATTTCCAAGCAGAAATTTGGGAATTTCCATGCCAGGTCTCATTTCCAATAATTGGGGTTCAACGCTTAAAAAGGAACAGCTGGTCTCTTTGAGAGTTGCCAAAGGTGATCAAAGGTATCTACCAGACGACAATCATGATTTCCCTCGAAACCCGTTTGGGTGTGTCCCTCGAACGTTGCAGTGGAATGATCCCCAAAAAGTTCGCGTGAATGAATTTATCGTCATACTTTTCAAGAATGAATACCATATGATGGTAGTATATCAAATGAATATACCACAATATACCACATTTCTTTTTAATCATAATAAGTTACTAATTGATATTATATACAAATTATAGCCATATATTATAACCAATATTATGAGATACCAATGATTTTTGATAACATATACCAGTCATGTTGTCAGGTGCTGACATTGTCATGGAGATGTACCAGAAGGGAGAGTTGGAGCAGGCTGGAAATGTCTTCACCCCGGGTGCCATGGGAAACAAATTCCATGATCTTCCATGCGCCAAGAAGAGATTTGAATCCGATTTGCTTTTTGGGGACCCAGAATCATGGGAATGTGTTTAAAGGTGAAAAAATATGTTCACCTCTATAGCTTATTCTAATTATTTTTAAAGTTGAAAAAAATGCAAAAAAAGGAAAACACATTGAAAATCAAAAAGCACAACTTCAAAACTGAAAAAAACGGAACCAAATAAATGGTGAAAAAAAGGAACGTCAAAAAGGGAAAAAAAAATGGGGGAAAAATGATTTGTCCATTTGCATTTTTTTTGCATATATGTTGCTTTCTCGATTTGTTTTTTTTGCTTTTATTTTGCTTTGTTTTTGCTTTTTGCCTGGAAAAAAGAAAACAAAAAGCAAAAACAAAGTAAAACGAAAAAGCACAATACATGCAAAAGAAATGCAAATGGACAAGTCCATTTTTCTCCCATGTTTCCCCTTTTTGACTTTCCTTTTTTTTCCCTTTTTTCCCATGTTATTGTGCTTTTGTGTTTTTTGGATTTTGCTGATTTGCTTTTTGGTTTTTCCTTTTTTTTGCTTTTGTCGCGCTTTTTTTCAAGTTTTAATAAAGTTAGAATAAGCTATGCTCTGGTTGACACAAGTGAAACATCTAGTTTCACCCATTAACTTCAACCATAATTAGTTACAACCACCATAGACCCCAACACTTATACATATATATTATATTATATTATATACATTTATATACTAGTTTTGCTCCCCAACTCAGCTATATATATATATTCAATATTCTACATATATATATATATATTCCTTTTTTTGTTGGTTAAATTCACCATGCTCATAGTGGTTAACTTCCCCAACTCAGCTAGCTATAGATATCCCATGATATCCCCGTGTTGGTTAACATCACCATGTTTCGCTGGCCGCAGATGCTGGTCATGGCCAACGAGGGTGCTGGTGCCTCTGGTGCCTCAAGCGGTTTAAGGGTTGATGGTGAGCCGAGGCGGAGACTGAACGAAGAATCATTGGTTTTTAATGGTGATTTCATGGAAGTTGAATGGGAATCAATGAGAGTTTTAGGATGATAAAAATAGGGATTTAACCACTGGTTTCATGGTGGTTAAATGATGTTAAATGGTGGTTTCATGGTGGTTCAACGAGAAAAAAATCTAGTGATTGACAGGGATTTTAACCATTGAACATTGTGATTCTTCATGGAATTCAATGGGGATATAACCAACCACTTTCTGGGATACAACTGGAATCATCAGGATGATTACCTGGTTATTTGTCAGCAAGGTTTGTCAAGCCATGGCCCGACAGTTCGATGGTTTCCCTGTGAAAATAATGACTTTCCATAGCATTTGCTGTTCAATTACCATCTGGTTATGACTGTTACATAGCCATGGAAAGATCCACCATGCTATTAAGTTCGGTAAAGCATCGAACTAAATGGGCCATGGCTTCCATGGCGATGTAACAAATAACCAGAGGGTATATTACCATTAATCACCGTTAATCATGAATAAATCACCATTGATCACCATTTTCCCATGGTTTTCCTATGGGTTTACCAATGGGACCAATGTTCGAAATACCAGAGGTTAGATGTTCTGCCACTGGTTGAGGGGTAACTCTGACCACATGCCATCCGGTTACCCGGTTGCCCGGTTGGTCTCTGTAACGACTATTTATGGGTGCCCTGACTAGATCTGTTTCAAGACTTCTAGTGGTGGATTATGGTTAGTGGATCCATGTTTCGTACTGACAACGACCATTTATAGTATATGAGTGGACTTAAGTTCAGGACTGATAATATCTAGAAATAATAGTCTTTGCTATACAACTATTTCTGCAGTTTTTCACAAGGTTTTTGTTTAAGCTCTTGAGGCTCAGCTTGCAGGATCATCCCAAGTAGTGAGTGGTTATATAGGAACTGGGATTGTCACCCCGGTTTTTTAATGGTTTTTCAATAATTGACATCGGATATGATCAAGTTCAGGACCTTACTAGAACGTGCTACTTTCTGATTAATTTACGCTGACAATGGAGAAAAAACACACGAGTTACCCTCTGGTAATTTAACATAGCTATTGAAAATGAACCATTTATAGTGGATTTTCCCATTAATCATGGTGATTTTCCATAGCTATGTTAAATTACCAGAGGGTAGTTTATCTATTCTATCAGGTTCTTGGGCAGGAGCAGTTCGGAGCTATGGCTATGGCTGTACTCGGAGTGGTGAAAATAACCATAGTTAGTTCATCCATTGATCGATGGGAAACAAAGCCACTTACTTGGGGGACTTGAACTTGCAAGGTTTATTAACCACACAGTGCAAGTATCCACTTAGTATATATATATATCCATATATTCCCTATGTATCCCTATGTTTCTTAACCAAAATTCTTCGCCACCTAGGATTCTCAACCACGTGAGATCCAAGATCTCCCGGTGCCAAGGCGAGCAGCCGGAGCAGAACGCTGCAGGCGATGTTCCCCAGTACGCCACAGGCGAGACGGAGATCTGGCAGATCCGGGGAATTTTCACCATGCCAGGCTGCCATGACGGATCCGTTAGCTTTCAGTTGGTTTATAAATGGCTGAATTAACTATGGTTTATGGTAGATATAACGAACTAGATAACTATGGTTAATGGATGTTAATGGGGTTTATAAATGTTTATAACACATATAGCCATATATATATATATATCTCCCATGACGGATCCTAACGGTGCTGCCATATATGGTGTGCCATGGATCCCATCAATATACCCCAGTCATGTTAGCATTAATATACCAGCACCATGGATCCGTCATGAGATAGGTATTGTTTCTCAATCCATTGTTGTGATATGCCATTATAACTTAAATGTTGGATATTACCAACATTTACCAACTATCATGGGATATTGCCCAAGTATCACAAAATATATATTCTGGTTGGTGGTTTGGCACATGTTTTTTTATTTTTGTTCCATATATTGGGAATAAGGTGAACAACTGACTTTCATATTTTTCATATTTTTTCAGAGGGGTAGGTCAACCACCAACCAGCAATGTTCAAACGGGAAGAACATAGGGATTGAAGCATCAAACCACTGACAAGTGAGATTCTACCGACGGAAAAAAAAAAAAAAGTGATTTCTACATGTTTTATGAGAGCTAAGTTGGTGTACTTCACTAGGCCAACTAGGATTTGTGTGGTTTACGGTTTATGTGTGGTTTAACCGTGGGGCTGGAAGCTGAATTGCATTGCTTCGGAATATCGTATGTCACATGGATTGTAGTTTACATATGTTTACACTCAAGATCCCCCAGGGCTAGGTGTATCTTAAAGGTTTTAATTTTTACTGCAAAGTTCTTTCGCATGGGTGTTCCATGGTCTTCGGAAGCCTCTGATTTTGGGCATTTCCGGGTCGAGTTGAGAATTTCTTGACTTGTTTGGAACTTGGAACTCCCACCAATACACTCCAACTGTGTTGTTCTAACATGGTGGTATGTTTCTGGTTGGTGATTTGGAACATTGTTTTCCATATATTGGGAATAATAGTCCCAACTGACTAATATTTTTCGGAGGGGTTGAAACCACCAACCTGGTTTGTTTAGAAGAGACACGAATCTACCTTCGACGTCGATAACAACCAACGATGAGTCCTCACCGGTGCGCCTGTGCCAAGGCAATGTCCAACTAATCGATGATCCAAACAGGTGCCCAGCGATCCAACTGTCGGCCAGATAAGTGATTGATGTTGACAAGATAATGGATTACCCTCTGGTTATTTAACATAGCCATGGAAAATGGCCCATTTATAGATGATGTTCCCATTAAAACCTCCATTTATGAGGGATTTTCCATGGCTATGTTAAATATCCAGAGGGTAATTGATATAATAACAATGGTTAGTAATGGGTTAACATTGGTTAATAAAGGCTTCATCATGGTTAATAATGGGTTAATAATGATGGATTACCCTCTGGTAATTTGTTACATAGCTATTGAAGCCATAGCCATAGAAACTTCGTTGATTTACCCATTAAAAATATGATGATTGTCCATCTCGCAAACTTTTAGTTTACCAGAGTATGTAATTTACGTTGATTTACGGCATACCTACGGCCTGAATGATAGGTGCTAGACTAAGCAAATCTATGGTGTCTATGGGTCAAAACTCTTTTATTTTCCCACCCCAGCCTTTTGTTTTCCAGAGTGTTTCTATTTCTATTAATTATCTATTATCAATTATATATAACCTATAATATATAATATATAATATGCAACATATAATATATACTATATAATATATAATATACAATATATATAATATATAATATATAATATATAATATACAATATACAATATATAATATATAATATGTAATATATAATCTATAATTTATAATATATATACATATATATAATATAATATACATATAATATGACATATAATATATAATTCATAATATAAAATATATAATATACACGTATATGTATTATCGATATATACTATATTTATTTGTTTATCAATTTCCGTTTGGACGGCGAAACATCACCTTTTTTGAAAATGGTGACACATGATAGTTTCTCCTAGGTGGCATTCACTGTGATTGACCTTAAATATAAAAAACATGGTTGAATGGCTAACCTCCCGCGTCCGGAATTTCATTTCCATGTTTGTTGTAGGATTAAGAATAAAGATACTTGGAGCATTTCCTTGTATAGGCTCACCAAATGTGTATGCATCCACAAGGAGAGCAGCTGGGGAGTCGGACTGTTGAGACTGTTGACGTGCTAAGTAAGATACCTGAGATACACACCATCACAGTTGCGCCAAGTGCCGGCGGGTGTTTGAAGTCACAAATTTCAAGATCTTTCCAGAGCCTAGGCCTGGACTAAGCAGTGATTTACTGATTAACCGGGTTGGTGGTTTCAAACATGACTTTAATTTTCCATATGGGATAATCCTTCCCATTGACGAACTCAGATTTTTCAAGATTGTTATTGCACCACCAACCAGTTTAGTTTGGCTGAACTGATGATAGACTTGCGCACCGGTACGGGGATCCATGAAGCATTAGCACTGAGTTTTCAACAACGACGTAGTGTGATATACCCTAAAAAGTATCCGTATCCAAAACATATCCCGTTAAAAGCTATTTATAAACTCTATAACATGGTTTAAAAGTTTAAGATGATTTTAGTTCCATGTTATATAGATTTATATAGTTTATAAATCAGATTAAACATGGTTTAACATCATTTCAGAGACATATTCCGAACATGTCCATCTTCGGTTCCTTTGGAAACAACGGGCCCACCACGTGCCACGGTGTTTTTCGAGGCCCACGGCCACGGAGCTCTGCAAGGCGTTGAAGAAAAACCTGGCGCTGGTGGATCTGAGCCTCGCCACCGAAGTGACTGATTCGTGAGCGAAAATGGATGCTGAATGATGGTTATATGGGTATGGATCAATGACCTATTAATACCATTTTTAGTGGGATGAACATCCATTTACCAGCTATTACTAACCATTGTTATTATATCAATTAATCCATTACCCTCTGGTAAACTGTCACATAGCTCTGGAAAATCACCATTTTTAATGGGTAAATCCACTATAAATGACAATTTTCAATAGCTATGTTAGTTTACCAGAGGGTATATATTATATATGGTTATATATGGTTAATTATGTATGGTAAAATATATGGTTATATGTGGTGATATATTGGTATATATCTGTTAATAATTGGAACATCACCATTTTCTACAGGTAGATCAATTATAATTGGCCATTTTCCATAGCTATGATACTTTACCAGAGAGTATATATCATTATATATCTGTATTAGTATATATGGATGGTTATTTATACTACAGATATTACCATTCCAAATGATGGATGGTTATATAACAAAACATGATAGTTATATGTGATTGTTATATTATATGATGGTTATATGTCCAAGAAAGTAACACTGGCAATGATGGATTGATGATGGTTATACGGGGATTCAACTGATTCAAATATTTGGAATGGGAAGATCTGTATATTGCAGAAAGAATCGCTAGACCTCGTGTAAGCAGCAACTCTACGATGTGTCCTAAAGATCCGAAAAGGCAAATCCCCTTTTTGGATTCCTGATTCCTACTACCAAAATAGCACACGGATTCCGGTGACGATGAAAAAAGGTACACACTGGCGCAGTGACTGAAATTCTGGTACTTGTACACGATGTTTTCCAGGTACAAGTGTAATTATATATATAGAATATTCTATCTATATATATATATATACATATATATATATACACATATATATATATATGTACATATATATATACCGTGTAAATCACCTTTTGTGATGGCAATTTTGGAATATCCTTGACTCCAAGAGACCGGCCAAAAAGCGAAAAATCGTGCTGAGGAAGGTGGTGGATGATTCAGCCCCTTCGACAGTCTTTTTGGGGCTGGCGATGAACCACGGATTTTTGGTCAGTCATTGAGATATTGTTGATTTTGGGGATATCTGTGGTATTAAAACAATGATATTTTTTCGGTAAAACACCAAAAAAAATGGAATTTGTTTAAATTATTAAAAGATTCAACCGATTATTGGTATACCAATGGTACAAAGCGCTATAAATCACAGCATTTTATGGGGATATCATGGAATAGACTTTTAGAACTATGATATTTGGGATTGTCTTAAACTTGGTTTTAGTATTTCAATGGGCATGCATGATTGGGATGATTTTGGGGTACCCCCACAATTTTTTGGAAACCTCCATATTTTTGTGCGTCTAAAAATTGGAAAATGATGAGAATCCATTGGGTTTTGGGCCATCCTGCTATCCTATTTTCAGACAAACCATGATCAAGATATGGCTAGAAATCAAAACCCAGGTGCCCTGATGAACATTGAAATAGGTGGTAAATGGACGTTCATTCCCCAAAAATATGGTATAATAGGTTTTGACCCATCCCCATATGGGTGGTTTATGATTGTTTTACCTACCTATCCAGTAGTGAAAAGGTGTGTCGAGAAAAACAATCAGCATGTTCTCACGGATCATCAGCATTGGTCAGATCATGCCAATTCCCAAAATACGTTCATCAACTTGGCTAGGTCATGAATGTGTTTGCAACCTTTCGCGTTTACCAATTAAGGTAAAATGAGGTAAGGCCAACAACCAACCATCATCCCCAATCGCTAAAAAAAGACAACACATGGATTTTTGAGTATTTTTGTAAAAATACGATGGTCAAAAAGTTCAAAAAACATCTCCAAGAATCTCATGCTTGTTCTGTTTTCCATCCATTTTCGGTAGGGTCTTTGGATGTGGTTTTTTTCAATGGCCCCAAAAGCCGTGGTGGCTGGAATCTAAGGCGGCGCATGAAGGCGACGCCGGCGCTCTGGAGATGGGTTCCTTGGCGGGATTTTTGGTGCTTTCCTGAAAGAATAGATAGGGGTAGCCTCTGGTAATGACTAACATAGCTATTGAAAATGACCATTTATAGTGGATTTTCCCATTAAAAATGGTGATTTTCCATAGTTATGTTAGTTTACCAGAGGGTAGCCTCCACATCATCGAAAATAGAGGGATTTTCCATGTTTTTACCATCCAGCGATTTTTTAGAGCCCCTATGGAAAAGGAAATCCATGGAAATCCCCATTTTGGACGTTGAGGTAAAACTCTGATTGAGTTTGGTAATGATTGGTATTTGGTTCATAACCATTAATGTGGGTAAAACAATGTTATAAACCACCCACCCATTTGGGAATGGTTTATGCGACCTATCTATGCTGATTTGGAGAATGGTTTATTGTTGCTTTACCATGTTTTACCCACATTATACTATATGATATTTGGGTTAGGGTTAGTCTCACCAGTTGGTCAATAGCGAGATGGCTTCGGCTTAGCTCTCCGGCTAGGGAGCCGGGCTGGGGCTATCATGATCGATTTTCCCTGCATGGGTAACTACGCATTGAGTTTCCCAAGCACATGATATTTAGGGAATGATCAGAATTCAGCTGAAAAGAAAGGTTTAGATTTTGATGCTCAAAACATGGTCAAACTTTGAGATATCCCCAAGCGTGTGCTGAAACGTGATAGGTGTGGATTGGTCAAAGAAACTCCGACAAAATGTTGAAATTTCAGTTGGGACGTCCATTTCAACCAGGGAAGAAGCGCTTTTTTTTCCATGTGATTTTTTTGGGGTGAAATTTGGGGTGCTTGATGGTTCCAATCAAACTTTGATTTGTATGTGAACGGGGACAGGGAAGACCAGGTACTTTCTGGGATGATCCTCCAGTGCTTCTGGTCCTGATGGTTTGCTGAAACATCATCCTTATTAAAAGCTCTATCTATCTACTTATCTATTTGTCGATCTATCTATCTATCTATCTATCTATCTATCTATCTATCTATCTATCTATCTATGTGTTATATATATATACATTATATACATGTGTATTTATTGTGTATACAGTATACACACTACGCAGTCATGCTGGAGTAGATAGACTATGGACATCTTCATATTCGATCTCCAGATTTCCCAGCCATGAAGCCATGACACCGTTGCGGCGAGCCACTAAGGTTTGACCAGCGAGTCACACTTTAGCGTGCCTTGGGGTCATCTCCAGAAATTCCAGGACAGAGACTAGATATGACTAGATGCTCACCAAAAAATACGGACACTATCTCCTGGAGAGCTTTCTGCTTTGGGTTTTGAGCAACAAGAAACAATTCCGAATAGGTTTTTGCCCAAACTAGAGGGATGACTCGGGCTATCCTCCCATGAAGAAATGTTGATGACCCTGGTGGTGGCTCTTGCTGATCTTAAAAAAACTGGAATAGTTTGTCAAACAATTTGAAAAGATTAGATCCAGCCTTGTGTCCGTCGTCTTCCCACATGATAGCTGCTGCTTCTGTCGCAGCCACCTCATTTTACAGGTCACCTGACACAGATTGAACAACGTGCTTGAATATGTTCCTATTCTTGATGTTCTTGTCCTGGTTGCTGCTTCACTTGAGAAACGCTGCAAAGTACTCAAACGCCCTCCCAAATGGGTTGTTTTGGTTGCAGTTTAAGGCTCTGGGAACTACTAGTGTTGGGCCCTTTCTGGTAGCAAACCGCCCCAATTTGTTGGGTCATGTCATGTGTGGCATTTGAGCTGGGGAAATCCTTGAGCTAAATAGGAAATTGTCCATGGCCATGTTTGATTTCCAAAAGGATATGTCCAATATGTCCCTCTCCTTTCTTGCAAAAAAAAAACGCAACTCACCAATTCTACAAAAGCAGTTTGCCACAAATTTCACGGAACATGTTCCGAAAAAACAATGTTGTGCAGATCTGCAGTAAACCCATGGTTTTTCCGCACCCGGGGGGGAAGTTGTAGCCAGTTGTGCTGTGGCCGAAGGTGAGTATCGTCTCCCCGGATTTCGCCACTTTGTCTCGCGTTCCTGGGAATGTTTGGAGGGGGTGATGTTGGGGATGTTTGGGGTACCCTCTGGTGATTTCACATAGCTACAGGGAACATGGGATATGGCCCATTTATAGATGAGTTATTATGATTTAGCTATTAAAGATGGTGGTTTTTCAGTACGCAAAGCGTTAAATAACCAGGGTTTGAGGCTTGGAATGGTGGGGATAGCCCCTGATAGCGATGAATCACCTTGATAGGGGGTTACCAGTTGATCCAAGCCGCTAACCCACCAGCTGACCACTGGTTGAGTATAGGAACATATAGGAACTATATCATGTTGAAAGTGCAGATCCCTTAACCTCTTTGATGAACATTGATAAACTATGATAAACTGGGTTTTCATGAATTGGGGTTCGTTCAACATATTCCACTTGCCTACCTTGTCTGTTAGGCCGGCCCTGGACCCCTTAGGTGCAGAGACAACAGAAAGTCTACGAAGCGCTTTCCGGCGTAATGTCGGGTTCCTCAGAGTGAACATGGGATGACACTGGAGAACGGGGATGAATTGGCTATGAGTCATAACCCTGGTACCTAGTGAACCACAAAACAGCTGGTAAATGGATGTTCATCCCATTAAAATTGATATTAATAGGTTTTGACCCATCCCCAATTGGTAATTTTGTAAAGCCAATAATAAACCATCCTCAGGCCCAGGATCACCAATTTTTATCGGTGGTATTTTAACCACCCCGAAATGGTACGTTTATGGCATTGGGTTTCCCACATTATTTGTAGCTAAAAACACATAGGAATATAAGCAATGAATGATGGGGAGAACTGCGTCATAAACATTGGAGAAGCTTCCCTGGGAACCGACGACTATCACCAGGGTTTGGTTTACTGTACTTCTCAACTGGGACATGAACTAGTCTACAAGGTGGTGCCCCTAGTTTCAAGTTGGGTTAGTGTCACCCATCTAACTATAGGATTACAGGTATACCATAAACATCCATAAACATCCATAAACCCAGCAGTTAAGCTTGTTCTGAACAAGTTTCGCTACACCTCGTACTCTCATTACAGACACCTCTTCTAAACCTGGAGTCGGACTGTCAAATTGCGCTCAAACTTCCAGGGGCAGATTCACTGGGTTTTCCCAGCATTTGAGCTTCAGATTTACCTTCTGGTAAGCTAACAGTTTATCAGTTTGCTATTGAAAATTGCCATCTATAGTGGCCATAGAAATAGTTGCTTACCCATTAAAGAGTGTGATTTTCCATGATTTTCCATTGCCAACTGTTAGTTTACCAGAGGGTACTTCCCCTGGAAGTGTCGTTTGTTGCACCCAGGCCTCGAATCCACGCCTTGTCCTTGGTGACCCAGACACCTGAAGAAGTCAATGCAGATGACGACGGGCAATGATCGAGACCCAGACCCAAATCCCGCGCAAAAAAAGTGCCACAGATTGATATCATATCAATCCGCCTTGAAATTTCAGCTACAGACGGCCAAGGGCCCTGGGCGTACAATGTAATCCACTTTATCAGCAAAACAGGGTTTTAAAAATGTACCCAGGCAACTCATTTTGTAGCAAAGTAACTTTTTGAAGGCTGTGTGTGGGTTT